CCAGGCCATTTTTCAGTGTTCAGCGCTGCAGTACTTTGACGTTTATTCTGTCATGCAACGCTGTACTGAAATGAATTCTATACAATTTTTTTGGGACAGATAGAGCTTTCTTTTGGTGGCATTTAATCACCACTGGGGGGTTTAATTTTTTACTATATTAAAAAGGGGGGGGAAAAAAAAGTATTTTTTCCATTATATATTAGGAAACAGTAATTACCCATATTTTAGGTAAAATATAAAAGTCAGGGTCACGTCGGGTAAATAGACAACAAACATGTCATGCTTTAAAATTGCGTGCACCCGCAAAAAACTACCATACCCAAAATTGACCATGGGCGACGCTTTAAAAGCTTTTACAGCTCATCAGTTTAGTGTTATCAGTGATTGATAGCCCTAGAACTATTGCTCTCATTCCAACGTTCGCGACGATATGTAACATGAGGCGTAATAGGCGAAATCGTCATTTTCACGTATGCTCACCCGACACCTGTTTGCATGCGTGTATGTATGGGGGGGGGGGGAAAAATATTATTTTTTATTTGTAACTTTACATTTTTTGGGGGGAAACTTAAATATTTTTTTTTCCTATTTGTTTTTCCACTTAACCTTATTGCTATCACATAGGGGGCTAAGAAAACCCCCTTATGTGATAGCAAAATATGTGACAGGTCCTCTTTATGGAGACATCAGGGGTCTCAAAGACCCCTGTCACCTAGGGCCCCCCTGAAGAAGCTGATGAAGTGGAGTAACGGCCCGGTTTCTCCTCGCGCCACGGTGCACCTGTATTACCCGAGGTCAGTCAAAGATTTTAATTTCTTATGGTGGGAATGGGTCCAGTGATGGCATTGTTTTAATGGGAGTGGCCTATTTTTATTTTCACTGTGTGATGTCTATATAAAGTTGATGAATCTGTTAGTGATGTGTCATTCTGAGCCTGATGAAGGGGACCCCTTGAGGCCCCAAAAGCGCATGCATTGAATGGCAATGTGCCATTAAAAATGGATCATTGATTTACTATTACGGTGTGCTGGTGACATTTTCTTCTTCTGCTTCATCAGCTTCTCTCCAGCATCTGAAGCTGGAGAGTGACACAAGAATGCGGAAGTGATGTAATATACATCAGTTCCGCATTCTGACAGCAGAGAGGGGACCGGAGGGAGGTCGTGTACCGACCTCCCTCTGATCCCATGACAGAGGCAGTATGCTGGTCCCGGGCTCGCACCGGGCACAGCGGAGCGGAGGGGGGCACACATCCCGGGACCTCATACAAGCGATCGCTTGTATATTAACAGGCATTGTTGACGGTTTCCAAATATCGGCATTTGCCGCTCGAGCACGCCCGGCAGCGCGTGCGAGGGGGCGTGGCTGAGCGTACGTCTAAAGATGCCCGCTCAGATCTTGAGAGCTCCTGGCCGGCCGTTTTTTTTTTTTTACAATGGCCGGCCGGGAAGTGGTTAATTAAAAAAAAATAAAAATAAAAAAAATTAAATAAAATTATTGCCTATGCTCCTTTAGTGCTATGTAGTGGCTATAATGCAATATTACAATTGGAACATTCACAAACACGGTACAAAAATCCTACTTTTGGTCTGCACGACCCATTAAATTATAGGGTGTACAAAGTTATCAATCAGTAGTAATCTGCATGTGCCAACTGTTTCCTCACTTATAAATGTCACCTTCCACAGTCATTTGCATTATTTCACAGCAGAAAAATCAGACTAGTAATGGAACAAAGGGTCCTACTTGGATAACTGCATATACAGAAAAGCTGAGGGTTATCATTCAGACCAATTCCCCTTGTACAGTAAGGGTTGTGGCAACCTTCAGTGACAAAGTGGGATGGAAGATTTTTTTGTTATGCTCCAAGACACTAGAGTGATTGTTTTCCCTCTATGAGCATTAAATGTAAATATTCTGTAGCATTTCTTGTGCACACCGTTTGTAGTTCAGGATCGCGAGCCAGGTTTTCCTGCATAGTTATCACAAAGTAGATCTTTCAACTCTACAAGCTTTCCACTCAAAACATCATGGACTAAAGTACTTAATCTGCTCTTGTGTGGGCAGATGTAATTCACGGTGGGGGAAATGCATGCAAATCAAGGCTTTGAAAGGATTTACTAGAAAAGATGATAATTAGTTATGATGGCAGTGAATGGACATTATGCCCAATGTCTAGGGAGGTCATTTTTGTGAGGATCTGACCACCAGCAGCCATATATTTTGAACGATTAAGTGATTATCAGGCCCCCCCCCCCAAAAAATGTATTTAAAATAATGCATCACAGATTTTGTATGAAATCCAGCAGCGGAGGAAAAATGCACAGTTAAATATGGAAAAATAATCTATAGTAGGAGAATTGTGTGCATTCTCAACAAGGGGTTTAACAAGCCTGAAAGCCATTTTTCCATAAAAACA